GGTCACACCACTTCTCAAAAAGAAAAAATTCCAATATATACCAATAATTTAATAGATGTTTGTATTCACCATACAGGCATCAATGGCACACATATGAGCCATCTACCTAATTAATGTTTGTATCCAACACCGAGGCCTCAAGGAGCACAAGGAAAAAAAGCATCAAATAAATTGTTTGTGTATCGGACTAAGTAATGAATTTAAGAATCATTTAGTGGAGTGGATATCATATGTTCTTAGGGAGGGAATTAAGAGAGAAGAATTGTCTGAGAACACTATAGTCTATAGGCAAACTGGATATGGAAGTATCTGACGGAAAGGTTGTGAGAAAGGAAAGGAGGTGGGGACCATGGATAACAAATGAGATAACGAATTCACATGGATTAAACTTCTGGTAAGGACTAGGGATATTTTGGTAAGTGAGATATGANTGAGAAAAATTTCTACTTTTTCTGCTAAATTGATGGCACTAAACGGCAAGCAAGATCATTTAACATGGCCTAAAATAGCAAAAAAAATTGATGCTAGATCTATCACATCCCTTTTAGGATGAAACAATTTTTTGAATTACACCATCCATAAACAAAACCATTTTCATATCTAACCACTTACAATGCACTCCACTTAGTATCGGATCCTAAATTTAAAGCATCCACACCAAGCCCACCACCGTTCAATACCCCAAAAAAAAAAAAAATCCATCCTACTGCCCCTTCCTTGCCTCCGGTGGCGAGTGGTATTTCCCAACCTTCAAAACCACCAAACAGAAATAGGGAAAAATAGAAAACCTCAAAAACCTCCTACTGATATAAGACTTGCATGCACAAGGATTTAAATACAGCTAACTGCATGTGTTTTTTTTGCGAGAGTCCTCATACCACAAGTTTGCAGCTCTCTGTAAGTCTTCAGGCTGGCTTCCTATTTGCAGCCCCTTGAAAAGAAAGCGAAAAATTATGCACCGACTACACCAGAGACCCATGGAACAATAACTGGTGCATTTGGGTGAGCATTTCTGTAAGAGTCTGAATATTTGTTCTTAAAATTAAGTCTGGGTTTTTCCGCCTGCATTTTGAAAATGCAAAACAAAAATGTTAAGATGTGGCTAGATATAAATAAGAAACGAAGGCCAAATGCAGATCTAGGGTGGCCAAAGCTTACATATTTTAGCCAGCATTCCCCATGTTTGTGTTCATAAATATCTGGAGAATAGCACCCTGTCTCATATGGGCAATAAACCCATATATTGCATTTATTTTCACCCTCTTTGGCATGTTTAGCATGATCCAAGCAAGCTTGGCAACAGTCATAAGCGGATTCTTTATGATGGGTAAGGCCCCATCTGACAGCAGCACCATCATAATCTGTATGCAGTTCACCATGGCATTCAGGAGGTAGCGGCCTGCCAGGTAAAATTTCCTTTTCTGCATAGAAAAGGCATAACACAGTAAATGCGGGAAATAAACTTGAAAACAGAGCAAAAAAATAATGCTTTGAAATCGGGCCACAAATGGCTGGATGCATGAAAAAACAATCCTAGAACACACATTCTACTTTAGAAATCGCAGAAACCCCCAAAAATTGTACAGATACTTTCCTAGAGAGAGAGTAGAAAATACTATTTGGATCGAAATTTCGATAGAAAAATGGAATAATGGTTTCATTACCAGACTCTTCTTCACCCTCAGGCTTGTCGTCATGTTCTTTGTGAACGATTTCAACAGGTATCCAGAGACCTATGTCCTCCGACAACTCAGCCCAACTTGACTCCAGAGCTCTTACAAGCATCCCTACAACCACTTGGATGATTAAGTCCCATGATTGATCAACAAAAATGCCACAGACCACATATTAACAATAATCTTAAATGCTGCAATAACAATAATTCAAAAGATGATGACTGTGAAAGAAATTATACCAGCTTCCTCAGGTGGGATGGTAGAGTTTACAGTCTTCCCATGCGTAATTTGTTTAGCTTCTTTAAGTTTTTCATTGCGCCAACTTTCAACAGCGTCTGTTCATTAGAAACAGTATCAAGAAAATAATTAGGGCGAAATGGATCAGGATAAAAAGGAACCTACACAATAGACACCAGTAAGACATGAAAATTAACTAAACCCAATTTCTAAGCAACTCATATCTGCTTCTCAGACATAAAGAAGATATATTTGTTCTCTTAACCAACTTCAACAACATTTTGGAAGTTTATCTGCTCAACACAATTACAAACCCTCACAAGGTTTCAGTTCCAAATTTGTAGAAATGACACACTGGCATGCTCTTGGTTGTGAGGAATTTGAAAATATAAAAAAAATCTGCTCCAGCTCCAATTGTTCGGAGAAGCATTTAAAAGCTTGTCAGTAAAGTTAAGAAATCAAAATTTACTAATACATGACAGCACCATATAATAAATTCATATTAACTAGGTGCAAGAGGGAAAACAGCCTCAATTACTTTCATTTTTTATTATGAATGATTTTACCCACTAGCAAACCCCCCCTCCCCCCAAAAAAAAAAAAACAATTTACGTCTCACAGCAAGAAATGCACCTCAAGATACAAGGATGTGACACACTTGTCGGCCCTAGATGGACAAAACAAAGAGCGCAACTCAGGGCAAAAACTCAAAGAGGTGGAGGTCCGGATAAATGTCACAACAAATATCAAGGCCTCCAAACACCCCTAAAGATGAGCAATACTTGCATTGTATATGAAAACTTCTTTCAACTCATCTCTCTCTCTCTCTCCCACCCACCCACACACACACAACACAACACAAAACCTACACAATTTTGACTCAGCTCCAAAAGAAGAAGGCTTTTTCACTTATTCACTTGATCTGGGGCTCATGTTAACTTAAATCTTAAGGAATGAAAAAAAGAGGCAAGAATGTCCAATTAGAGAGGCGGGCATGCATCCATCTGGGGGAAAATTGAGAGCGTAGTTGTGGTTCTTTGCCTACTTGCCTGGGGCTTCCACTAAGCTACTCTTCTAGGTCAAAAATTGATATGGGATTCCGTTGAGGAAAGTTCCAAAGATGGCTTGCTAGGTAAAAAAGAAAAGGCAATAATTGTCTAAAGAGGTCACACCACTTCTCAAAAAGAAAAAATTCCAATATATACCAATAATTTAATAGATGTTTGTATTCACCATACAGGCATCAATGGCACACATATGAGCCATCTACCTAATTAATGTTTGTATCCAACACCTAGGCCTCAAGGAGCACAAGGAAAAAAAGCATCAAATAAATTGTTTGTGTATCGGACTAAGTAATGAATTTAAGAATCATTTAGTGGAGTTGATATCATATGTTCTTAGGGAGGGAATTAAGAGAGAAGAATTGTCTGAGAACACTATAGTCTATAGGCAAGCTGGATATGGAAGTATCTGACGGAAAGGTTGTGAGAAAGGAAAGGAGGTGGGGACCATGGATAACAAATGAGATAACAAATTCACATGGATTAAACTTCTGGTAAGGACTAAGGATATTTTGGTAAGTGAGATATGATGGGGATTACAAAGTGATTAAATTTGGTAAAACAGTTGTGTTGCAAAGATGCTCTGGAAAAGGCTCATTAATATAATTTTAAAAAGTGGGACATACGGTCTCACCTCTTTTGCAAATCATAAAACCTCTTGCCAAATAAGATATTGTATGTCCCCATATTGGCTAAATAATTATAGGACCGAGATTAGTCAATAGACTTGTATGAGTATGAGTTACACCGCTACCATTCGAGGAAGAATATTTATGGTTCTCCGTGGCTAACAAGGAAGTAAAACAACATTTTTGAGCACCTAACTAATCATCCCAAACGTGCAGTCTCCGACCCCCACATGCTTCGAGTAATTAGCATGATAAACCCATGGTGAGATATGAAAATAAGGTAAGATTAAAGATTTCCAAGAGCGGTAATTTTGCATGAATTTTTCAGGTAAAAAGATTTGCACAGAGGGTGCTCCTTAATTCTCAGAGAAACCTACATCCATGGATCAGTATTTGGAAGGCATTCCTCTCCGACCTTGCCATGCCAAAGAGAATCCCTCCCTATTGTCACCCCATATTCGAGCTGGGTCCATTGTTGTCTGACCCTAACTCTAAATAAACCAAGCTCTGGCCAAAATTTGCCCTGCCTATGAAACATGATGCGAGGCCGAGAGCTACTAGGAAACAAAATGTGAATATAGAGATGAAAGTACAAATTGTCTCTAAAATGAGAGCAAACAGGATCAAAATTAGAACAACAGCAAGACTGATTTAAAGACAAAATGGAAAGAAACTGACATAGGAATGTGAATAAACTGTTAACCAAAAAAAAAAAAATTTGAATCACATTTGCAGGTGTAATACGACAGAACCACACAACATATCAATTACAAAAGCAAAGGGCCTTGATTTTAGTTTGTGGTCTTCAATCAATGCAATTTCAAACAAATTGAAATAATGGCAATGACGTTAAACGAAAATAAATTTCTAGGCAATAAAGGGCAGTGATGGCAAAAATGACCCAAGCAGACCTTTATAGACAGGGGATGAAAGTTTAGATAGCAACCTAAAGCACTAGGAAGTACATGAGGTTTTAAGAAAAGGAGCATTTTACTAAATTCATGCACATCGGAGATAGAGGATGAGGCCCTAATCCCAGTTCAAATGGTGATATTTACCCTTAAACCTGCCCACACCCCATAAACACGAAATTTAGTAAGGGGATGCAAAACTCAGATTGATTGCCATCACTAGCTTGTGAAAAATCTACTACAAAAATCCAACTAATGAACTTGACTTTCTTTTTTCGACTGCTATGCTAGAGGCTTTTTTTTACCATTGATGATCTGAAGCAAAAAAAAAATGACAAATTGCTGTCGTCTTTGCTTTCACAAGGGTGTAAATCACTTCTGCCAGGTTTAGAGAACTTATCGAGTTGCTTGGGTTACACTGAGGTTAATCAGGGAGATATATGGATCCTAGAATAGGAGATGCACACATACAAGGTGGAGAAAGGCTTGAGCGGTGATGCAGATGAGCATTGCGGCGCCATTCAAAGGAAAAAAAAACATGTAGGCTTTTCAATGGCTCAGCTCTCAACTCAAGTGTTGCAATGTGATGCTGAGCATGCTGTTTTTATGGCAAGAGGTAGTTTTTTCTCTTTTTTGTAACTATAAATGCTTTTGAAAAGTTTTTAGGTTATCTTTGGTGCTGAATGCAGTGACCCTTTAACCACATGTACACGGTTGCACATCTGCCTTCAGAACTTTCAATGCTTATGCCCCTGTAAACTAAATGAATTGAAAGAACTCCAATAGGACAAACTTCACTAGAATCGCACCCTGATTACTTGGCAATACTGCACTTCTGTCTTATCTGCTTAATTACTTAGATCACTAGCATAAAATTTCATAATAGCTCCAAATAACTTCCAAAATACATTATGTTTGAATCTCATACAAGCATGTAACAATTTATGCAATTGTCTGGCTTAAACTTCTCATGATGTTTCCGTAACCAGTTCCATGCCACATACATAGCAAGGTAAATTCATCAGTCAATGTTTAGAACTTGCTTAAATAGCATCTACATGAGAAAATAGTAGTAACAGATGGCACAGTAAAGAGACAGGTTTGAGTATCAAGAAGTATAGAGATAATGCAAAACTCCCATTGGAGGTAAAAAATGAAAAACATGGACAGCACCACTAAAGTTACTCCGTAAACCCAAGGTGCACTCACCTTGCAGCTCCGTTGCATTGGCGCTGGCATTCAAGACTCTCAACCTTCCTAGTATCTCATCGGTTATCTTCTGTTTCACAGGCTGTGGCAATTCAACAATCTTTTCTTCTGTCAAATATTTCTCCTTGATTTGTTTCACCTTTTGCCACAACAGTGTTTATTTGATCAATTGACTAACTACCAATAGCACCAGTCACAAACTACCAAGTACTCAAACACAACCCATCAAAATTTCCCCAGAAAAAAGTCGAATTTAATAAGTACAAATCCCTAAAAACCGAGAATAAATCTTACCAATTTTACAAGCTTTACAGGTTCCGATGCTTTACGTATACGAATTGATTCTTCCATTTTCCTAATTTGATCTGACGTATACCTAAAAGCTTTACATACAAAACACCCACCAATAAACAAGCGTTGTGCATTAAGAAAACCAACAAAATCACCAATGTGCCTTCACAAAACCGAATTAACAAATTGGTACTTAAGATATCAACAATAACGCTGCATCTGTAAAATCCAATCAAAGACAGACTTGAATTCATACCGGTTTGTGAATCGTTATAGGGGTATATGTAAAGCGAAGTGTACATAGAGTGAAGAACATAAAGAGCAACAACAATGTTGATTGAACATATTATGATTGTGGTTCGCTTGTACGAACACCATTTGCCTCTCCCGTTATACCCCCAATCTGCTTTCGCCATCTTCTTCTTCTTCTATCTCCTTGAACTTCGTCTCCATTCCATCATCTCTCTCTCTGTAACTTTCCCTCTCTGTATCTATTGTATTTGTCTATATCTATCTCTCCCAAACCGAGGAATTTGAAGAATGATTTGCCTCCAACGGATCAATCGATGGATTGAATCAATCTAACCCTCCCTCCCTCTTTCAGGGCTCGTTTCCAAAAGAAGAACAGTGGAGTGAAAATGGGTGCTCTGGTTGTTAACTTTTGTTCTGTAATTCTGTGTCCATTAGGAGTAATTTCACAGGATTCCGGAACTTAGGTCTATTTACACATTGACCCTTCAAGTGTAATTAGTGACACCAATACTCTTTCAACTTTTAAATCAGTGAATTTTGGTGTGGGCCGTGAGAGCGATACCTCAAGACAAACTCTGAATATTATATATAGTCTCAAAATAATAGGGGGTCAAGGTCGACCAGTGAAACAATGAGGGATAAGTTTCATTATTGAGAGAAAAACAACTTGATTCACCAAGTAAGGCTCCTCACTCAATGATAAAGGAGGTAGAGGAGTAGAGATGGTTAGGAGGTTTGCTTAGAAGTAGACGGCCTTAAAAGAGTGTGAAATAGCTCACTGATTGAACACTCTTTAAAAGATGCTTGTTGCCAATTCAACATTTGATGGCTTTTTCATCAATTTTTGAACAAAAACAATTTTTATCAGTACCAAGAAACAGTTAAAAAGTTGAGTTTATCTAAAAAATTTTAAGAAAAAAATCAATTTTTTCGGAAACACTCCAAAATGATTCTAGGTACTTTTTTTTTAACTCTGTCTTTTTTATTTTATTTTTCAAATTTTTACTTTGTACCCAAAAAAATCAATTTCAGAAGGACCAATAGATATGATTGAAGGGGGTGGGTTTCTATGTGATTTAGTGGGATCATGGAAGATAAAAAACTGTGGCCGAGGAGTTTATTAGTATTTTGGTATTTCTAACACGGTTTGTGACGCCCATCTAGTTTTACACTTAATCACAATTGAAGGGTATCATGTCTAACCGGTTCTTATTTCAGAGGGGTAATTTGTAATTACCCGCATTAGCTAATGCTGGTGGTTGTGCTAAACTGCGCATAGGATCAGGAAAAGTGGGTTCGAAATTGGCATTAATTATTGCCGACCTTGTGCTAACTTGCGCCGATGGGGGATGGTGTAAAAAATCATTTAAAGCTGTAAACAGCCGAGGACTCAAATCATAAGCATGGTTACAATACAGCACCCATCAACACGCCAAAAACATGTTCATTATACTATTTTTAATATGCGGTTAGTGGTTGATTTAATCTTAATCATTTTGTCGTTGGACTTTAAAATTATAGTTTCAAAATTCCTCTCTTTTATAATAAGAGCAATGTTACATGAACTTAAAAAATATATTTAAAAATTAGACTTAATAATTATAACCATTAATTTTACTGTGGGCCTCAATATTTATTAGGACCCACTACCTATTCAATGTTGAGATTATCAAGTCTAATGTTTAAGTCTGATTTTTAAGTCCATTTAATATTACTCTTGTAATAATAATTGACAAAAAAAATATATTATTATTTTTAATATACATATTATGTCCATAAATAGTAACTGAAATTAAATCAAAATAAAATTTATAATTTGTAATAAATTTTTAATATATAAGCTATGATACGAACAAGAAAGATTTCGCCCAAAAATTGATATGAATGTTGGTAAAAACGGCTGCAACACATCAAATGTCGTGACACTGACTGTGTCTTCATTTGGGTTTGATTATGGTAAAAAAGGAAATATTATTATTATACAACTATTTTTTTTTTTTAGATATTTATACTATATTTTTTTTTTGGTTTTATTAACTTTTGTACTTTTTTTTTTGTTCAAATGTCTGATATTCATGTCAATTTACACAAATATCGACTAATTTTTTTTTAATTCAGTCAAAAACAAATCATCCACACCGAAATTAAGACATTTATGAAAAATAAATCGTTGTTAGACTCTAAGAGATTACTAAAATTCGAAGTCATGTCGTATTGTGTTCACTTAAGAATATTGGGTCTATTTAAAACCTTTTTTGGGTGTATTTTTTTTATCATTTTTTGAGCTAAAATTTTGATTTTTTATTATATCTTTTTTTACTTTTCGAGATGATATTGAAAAATAAAAATAGGTACCGTACTCTTTTGAACCTCGGATGTGAACTTTTTTGTCCGATAATTTAAATCAAATTCAAATCGATTTAGACTACTTTGTTTAACCTTTCGCTTTCCTTTCCCATTTCCCCTTTCTCCTTCCCTGTGCTCCTCTACACCTCCTTCTAATGATTGAAAAAAATTAAAGGCAAGGGACTTACAATGATTTTTATGACAAACTTTGGTAAGAATTTTTTTTCAAAATTTCTGTAAAAATTCTATATTTATACAATTTTTTGATTGAATAGAGCTGTTGAAATTGAACAGTATTTTGTGAAAAGTTTTGCAACTTCTCTTTTTCTCTCTTCAGAGTTGCCAAATTTGTCATCTCAAGAGTTTTGATGTCATTTTTCACCCTTTTATGCCACCTCTTTGAAATAAAAATTTTTAAATTTGGGGTGTTATTTTGCTAGTTATAGGATTGTCACACCTGATGTCACTACTCTTGAAGTTGCTTTAAGATTGGATTCGCATTTAGATACACTAATTCGACCCGATAAAAGGTCCAGGTACGATTTTAGCCCCATATATAAACCATTTAGAGACAACCCAACCCAATTATCTAACTCACTCACTAGACCAAAAAACAAACCCTACTGACCTTCCCGCGCTTCCCTCCTCCTCCCGCCTCTAACAAAATCTGCGGACGGCGACCATCCTCCGCTCACCAAAAATTCCTCCCCGGCCACCGACAGCCTTCCATTCCCCTCATTCCTCTTCTCCAAATCTCTGTTGTATCACCTTAGGTAGTGAGTTGTGTTCCACTGTTGTCAAAGTGTTTTTGGAGTTTTGAAATTTTGGAATTTGGGCGAGACGTTGAAGCTCTTGTCGTGTCGAAGGAGAAAAAGTTAGGGTTTCGGGAAGAGCTCCGGTCTCGGTTCTTCTTGGTAAGATTCGATTCAATTCTTTTTTTCATTTTCCTGTTGTTGAATAGGTGGATTATTGGTAAAAAAATGAGGTGAAATTGAATGAAAATTGTTCGAAACGGAATTTTGAACCATGCTAGGACTGTCATCGAATCACAAAAAATCGAAGTTGATGGATGCCAGCGACGGTGAAGAAGAGGAATTCGAATTGTCAAGAAACTATTTCCTTGCAAAAGAATTTGGCACTTCTGGAAAAAAATCAACCCGTAAGCTCTCGGAAATCGACATTGTTGACGAACAGGTCTGCTTTAATCTCTGAGTCATAACATCATCCCTCTCTCTCTCTCTCTCTCTCTCTCTCTATACGTATGTGTGTGTGTGTGGTTGGGATGGTTTTTTGTGTCGAAAACGTGACATTCGTTCCTACATGCAGGAGCTAAGAGCGGCATTATCGAATATTGAGCCTAAACACGAAAAGGAAATCAATGACTTGATGAACACTTACAAAAGTTTGTACTCAAAATGGGTTTTTGAATTAAGGTATACACCCATTTGTTTTCTTTTCAATATATGTATTTTTTTGTATGTGGGTGTTGATTTAATGGTTAGGAATTTATTTGCTCTGGATGATGTTTCAGGTGTGGCTTTGGTCTTCTAATGTATGGATTTGGATCTAAAAAGGCATTGATCGAAGATTTTGCTTCAACAGGACTAACCGAGTATTCTGTGGTTGTCATCAATGGATATCTTCACTCGATCAATCTTAAACAGGTATTCTCGTTTCATTTTTAACCACAAACCCATCTCTTTTTATTTAACTTTTTACATGTTTTTATTCCTGTAGTTTATGAACTGTTTCTGGATGCTGATTAGTGTTTTTCCCGGGCATTGCACAAACAATGACTCAAAGCAATAACTCTTTATCCAATATTTAGATCATACATCTAGAATAGCTGCAAGAGCACTCTATATTTGTTATTGGGCATGGAGTTTGGATTTGAACTAGGGGATGGACTGTCGAAACTGTGTGCATTNTCAACTGGGGTTGGACTTTAACACATAAATTGGACTATTTTGGCTTAACCCATCAGATATGAACTTTTTTGTCTGATAATTTAAATCAAATTCAAATCGATTTAGACTTATTCGCTTAGCCTTTCGCTTTCCTTTTCCCTTTCCCCCTTCTCCTTCCCTATGCTCCTCTACGCCTCCTTCTAATGATTGAAAAAAAATTAAAGGCAAGGGACTTACAATGATTTTTATGACAAACTTTGGTAAGAATTTTTTTTCAAAATTTATGCAAAAACTCTATATTTATACAATTTTTTGATTGAATAGAGCTGTTGAAATTGAACAGTATTTTGTGAAAAACTTTGCAACTTCTCTTTTTCTCTCTTCAGAGTTGTCAAATTTGTCATCTCAAGAGTTTTGATGTCATTTTTCATCCTTTTATGCCACCTCTTTGAAATAAAAATTTTTAAATTTGGGGTGTTATTTTGCTTGTTATAGGATTGTCACACCTGATATCACTACTCTTAAAGTTGCTTTAAGATTGGATTCGCATTTAGATACACTAATTCGACCCGATAAAAGGTCCAGGTACGATTTTAGCCCCATATATAANAAGTTGCTTTAAGATTGGATTCGCATTTAGATACACTAATTCGACCCGATAAAAGGTCCAGGTACGATTTTAGCCCCATATATAAACCATTTAGAGACAACCCAACCCAGTTACCTAACTCACTCACTAGACCAAAAAACAAACCCTACTGACCTTCCCGCGCTTCCCTCCTCCTCCCGCCTCTAACAAAATCTGCGGACGGCGACCATCCTCCGCTCACCAAAAATTCCTCCCCGGCCACCGACAGCCTTCCATTCCCCTCATTCCTCTTCTCCAAATCTCTGTTGTATCACCTTAGGTAGTGAGTTGTGTTCCACTGTTGTCAAAGTGTTTTTGGAGTTTTGAAATTTTGGAATTTGGGCGAGACGTTGAAGCTCTTGTCGTGTCGAAGGAGAAAAAGTTAGGGTTTCGGGAAGAGCTCCGGTCTCGGTTCTTCTTGGTAAGATTCGATTCAATTCTTTTTTTCATTTTCCTGTTGTTGAATAGGTGGATTATTGGTAAAAAAATGAGGTGAAATTGAATGAAAATTGTTCGAAACGGAATTTTGAACCATGCTAGGACTGTCATCGAATCACAAAAAATCGAAGTTGATGGATGCCAGCGACGGTGAAGAAGAGGAATTCGAATTGTCAAGAAACTATTTCCTTGCAAAAGAATTTGGCACTTCTGGAAAAAAATCAACCCGTAAGCTCTCGGAAATCGACATTGTTGACGAACAGGTCTGCTTTAATCTCTGAGTCATAACATCATCCCTCTCTCTCTCTCTCTCTCTCTCTCTCTCTCTCTCTCTCTACGTATGTGTGTGTGTGTGGTTGGGATGGTTTTTTGTGTCGAAAACGTGACATTCGTTCCTACATGCAGGAGCTAAGAGCGGCATTATCGAATATTGAGCCTAAACACGAAAAGGAAATCAATGACTTGATGAACAGTTACAAAAGTTTGTACTCAAAATGGGTTTTTGAATTAAGGTATACACCCATTTGTTTTCTTTTCAATATATGTATTTTTTTGTATGTGGGTGTTGATTTAATGGTTAGGAATTTATTTGCTCTGGATGATGTTTCAGGTGTGGCTTTGGTCTTCTAATGTATGGATTTGGATCTAAAAAGGCATTGATCGAAGATTTTGCTTCAACAGGACTAACCGAGTATTCTGTGGTTGTCATCAATGGATATCTTCACTCGATCAATCTTAAACAGGTATTCTCGTTTCATTTTTAACCACAACTCCATCTCTTTTTATTTAACTTTTTCATGTTTTTATTCCTGTAGTTTATGAACTGTATCTGGATGCTGATTAGTGTTTTTCCCCGGGCATTGCACAAACAATGACTCAAAGCAATAACTCTTTTTCCAATATTTAGATCATACATCTAGAATAGCTGCAAGAGCACTCTATATTTGTTTTTGGGCATGGAGTTTGGATTTGAACTAGGGGATGGACTGTCGAAACTGTGTGCATTAATTGATGTTCACACGTTAATGGTGGTAGGTGGTTGTGCTTACTTATCAAAAGCAAAGGAGAAATGATGGTTGGTGATGTTCATGTCAATGTGCTGTTGCGAAGTAGGTTTCTTAGAATTGTTGATACTGATACTAATTGTTCAGTATAATTAGAGGATGACCTTCAGTTGCTGTTAATTAACAGTATCATGATAATGTACTTATAAGTTATAATTGATATTGAATTTGTGGACAAGACTGAATCTTGAGAAGGGAATAAAAGTATTATCTGGCTTCATCTCATCACAACTGTAATACATCATATTTAGGTCAAATGCTTATCGATGGCTTGATGAGGTTGTTTGAGAAGGGTTTAGGCACTTGATTTGGGGGTAGCATAGGTAGTAGCCTTTTGGACTAACTGATTGGCACAAATTAGGTCATTGGACCACTGATTTTGAGTCTGAGTTTATGTTTTTTCTTTTTCTTTTCTTGTCATTTTTCCTCTCCCTTGCATTATATTTTAAGTACAATGGGTGGGTGGGCAGGAATCTTGATGGATTAAGTTGGATATAGAAGTGTGAATGAGTAGCTTATATGCTTATCAGGGCAAAAAGAAGGGAAAAAGGAAATGCAGAAATTCCTATAAACAGTGCAGAACTACATAATAAAATAAAACAAAGTTGATAACAACATGACTGTTGTGTGCTCCCCTGATTGGTTGTTACTGAGACAACAAGATTCAAAGAGACTCTAACACATTGTTAAAGGTGCCTTAGTTATCATTAAGAATTGATCATATGATTCTAGCTAAATTATACACAGTATGGCTGCTATCAGCAACAAACTGTGAGTTTTATGGAGCTAAGTGTTTCCTGCCCAGCTAATAAGAATTGAGCATAGTCTTAATCATGGCTGTTAAATTGTAGGTAGTGATAACCTTGGCTGAATTACTGTGGGAGCAATTGAAAAACTATCAAAATACACCTTCAGGGAAATCTTCTAAAGCTGAAGAACCTTATAATTCCCGATCCATGGATGATCTGCTTGCTTTTCTGGATGGCCCACATGCCGATGGAAAGAAATGCTTTGTTTGTGCTGTCGTTCATAACATTGATGGACCTGCTTTACGAGACTCTGAAAGTCAGCAGTATCTTGCAAGAATTTCTGCTTGTTCTCATATTCGTATCGTTGCTTCCATCGACCATGTGAATGCACCTCTTTGTAAGTATCATCTAGGCTTTGTGATTTATTTCAGATATGAGAATTGGTGGTGGGCACGTTGCAAACAGTTGTCTTTCAGCTTGTTTACTTGCTGCTCTCCTGGGTTTATTCAGATAAACGGTGTCATCTAATTTTCTTGGCAATACTTCTTTGGAGAGGGCTGACAATATGAGATATTCAGATATTTTCTGTTTACTATAGTTCTTAAAAGTTGAGGTTTCATTCTTGGGGCTCCCCTCTGTCCAGGCTTAGGGAGAAAAAGGGAAATGACGTGGGTAAATGTTGCTGGTTGGAAGTATATACATCCTTCCCTCTCCCTTATTTCTATCTTCTCTAAAAGAAAAAGTTAAGTTTTAGATGGGGTGATTTATGGATTCTTTACTCACCAGAAATAAACAATGCATTAAAGCTCTTTCCTTATTATTTTTTGAATCAAAAATATTTCCTTTAGAGGTCATTTTGGGCCATGAACACCTGCCTGCATCTTGAACTCAAATTGTGCCTTGTTCTCTGTAGTGTCTGTAATGATATATACCCCATTTATGCACGTACTAATACCATTTTGATTTTGATGCAAGTGTGGGACAAGAAGATGGTCCATACACAGTTCAACTGGTTCTGGTACCATGTTCCGACCTTTGCACCATACAAGATCGAAGGGCTCTTCTTTCCTTTGATTCTTACACATGGTGGTGCCACGCAAACTGTTAAGACAGCTTCAATTGTTTTACAGAGTTTGACACCAAATGCACAGAGTGTGTTTAAAGTTCTTGCAGAGCATCAATTGGTCCATCCTGATGAGGAGGGTAAGTAGCTACATTAACATTTAAGTCATGATCCTCTGTAACGTAGATTTGTTCTTTATGTTACATTTTTTTTCCCAGGGATGCCTGTCAATAATTTGTACACAATCTGTCGAGAGCGCTTTCTGGTGAGTAGCCAGTTTACACTGAATTCCCATTTGACAGAATTCAAAGATCATGAGCTCGTCAAGACCAGAAGGCATTCTGATGGCCAGGATTGCTTGCATATTCCTCTCACAACCGAAGCGCTAGAAAAATTGGTACAAGAGATCAGTCAATAGAGGTTATCTGACCACGGCTGCCATAAGTTGAACAGCAAACACATACATGTTTCCTTGGCTTGTTGATAGCTAATACTCGACTGATATCGTGTTCATATGTAAGGTTGATATACTCGCTGTTACTAATATTGGTTATACATAAATTCATCTTGAGCTGCCATAACTTGGTTCGTCATGCTATATTCATGGGCAAGGAAAACCAAACAGTTTACACTTTAGTCCTACCTTTCCATTTTATAGTATATAATCTTGACATTACCTTGCCTTCCGGCTGGCTCTATGAGCTAAATTTGGACCGACCAAGTGTATGTTAAATTAAATATGATGTTATGCTTTAACTGCGGAGACTATAACAAAGCAGAAACTACATGGAAAGAGACGGTTTTGGTACGTTGCCTTACTCCATTTGTAGGTTATTACTTATCAATGATGGAGACTTTTAACAAATATTGGATGCATGTTCATACCGTTGTGAATATCTGATGGGGACTTTCTTTTATTTGTTTCTATGAATTTACACCACTCATTCTTATTTCAAAAATTACGTAGGAACCCCTTAAATCTGGAATTATATCAAGAACATCTCTCTTGACTAATCACATTTTTTTTCATGTCTCTGGACTAATTACATAGAACCCACTGATGTCATGAAAAATGACTGTCATTCCTAAGCTGTGTTTGCCAACATAAACATCAAATGAAATTAACAAAAAGGTTCAAAAGTGTGTATGTGATGAGGATGAAAAACCAAATTTGGTCTATTTTTTTTGTTGAGATTTGAAAAACTAGTTTGGGTTTGTCATTTTACGTTTTTTATTTTTTTGAAAAAGAATAGTATATTGCACGATATGTTTGAAGAACCAACAAAACATGACGTATGCATTAAGGAAATCAATATCCGAAAACTAGTTGCAGATATAGGTAATGACAAGGAGAAAATAACAAGGTGGGATGCACAAAGACGTACAAATCTATTACACAAAGACACTTTACACAACAAAAATTGAAGAATAATTTATAAATTTTGGAGACAGACAGAGTTCAAACAAGATTGGGAACTAATATGTGGCCGACCGCATGGTAATGTTATCCTACTATAAGTCCTACGCATCTGTCTTGATAAGGTTTGGGTTGGTCAATTTGAATTTAACTTTCAGATCAATTCAAAATTTACTAAATACACGGCATTTGGTTAAAGATTTTCAATGTGGGTTGGAGGTTGGGAAAAAAAATTTCAATTTAATTAAAATTCCAACAATACTAGAGTTTGGATCTAAGGGTCCCTTTGTTTAACAAAATAATACTAAAAAATGTAAGAAAGAGAAAATTTTAAAATTTTACGTGTATTTGTTTAGCATGAAATAGAAAAATAATTTTCTTCCATGTTTAAATTTTTTCATATTTAACTAACCTTTTTTTCTTGTAAAAAACACAAGAAAAAGCAAGAAAGTTGTGTTTAATGACCTAACTTCTCATTATACCCTTATTTTTTAAAAAATATTCAATTAGTTATTAATTTTAAAAAAACTTTGTACAAATTAGACTAACCATATAATATGGTCTAGAAATCAAGGTTTCAGTCGATTTTTGTCTTTGAATTAGATTAAGAGCTAAATTTTTAAAAATTTAAATAATAAAAAATATTTCTTCTTCTTTGGACCGAGTTAAAATAATTAAGTAAAATTTTATTAGAAGTTTTTCATGTAAATTAAATACATGCATGAAAATATATTTTCTTTCACTTTCTTTTATTTTACTTCACTTTTTATCTCTGTCATTTTCCATCATCTTGTTCTTGCTAACCAAATAGACCCTAAAGGCCCAATCCAAACTTAACCTTGATTGATGAAATCGGGTTCAAGTCGAGTTGGATCTAAACTTATTCTAATACGAGTCATTCCCTCAATTTCTAAATATATGTCGTTTTACCTAATTTTTTTTGTTTCGCAATATCTGTCATTTTATGAAACTAAAGTATAATTAATATTTTTTTTTTCAAATTTACTCTTATCTCTGTTTTCCAATAAGTGCTTAATAGATTAAGTGTAGGCTAAGTGTCTTTCATATTCTCTTCCTTCCCAATATATATTGAATAAATGTATATTAGTCTTGTTCAATTATTTTTTACTCATACTAGAGCTATTTAATAGTTTCCTTAATTCTTGTGCAAAAACTTTAAACGACAGTTATTTAACAACAGATGGAGTATATAGGCTAATAGTCAAATTTGTTGTAATTTTGTAACTTAAATTGAATTCAGAGTTGAACGTGAATTTTAACCTAATTATGTATTTTAAGAGTCAAACCTCAACGATCTCCCAAATAGCATTAGTGTTCATTTAACGGGATCTATCATTAAATACATTTAATTAATAATAATTTATTATGTCTTCAAATTGTGTCCTAATAACATCACTCTTCAAATTCACATTTGATCTCCCAAACCATCAAAAGATCAAACCCATCGATCATCTTTCTACAATGACAAATAGCTTATGGATAACAGGATAAGGCTATATAATACCTACAAAAAGTTATTTTTTGGCCATAAAGTTTTGATTAATCCATTTGTAAACCACATATCATAAAAATATAAAAATAAAATTAGGCAGATGAGATTGGATAAGTCTATGCTTACTAAATATGTGTATTAAATCTTCACTATAATATGACATAATTTTCATCATTAAATATAAATAATACTCATAATAAAACAAAACGGTGTCATATTCTTTGGGTCAAAAAAAGAAAAAAAAAATTACTATGCATATTAAATTTTCTTACAAAATCTTTCATCTAAACTGATGTGGCATAATCTTCGTCATTGAATATTAATGTGACTCATTCTTCTTACGATGAAAATATGTNCATAATCTTCGTCATTGAATATTAATGCGACTCATTCTTCTTACGATGAAAATATGTATCACATTATTTGAGATAAAATTTGGAAAACTTATCATTACCTTAAAAAAAAAAAATAGTAAAAAGTAATTGACAATCATAGCATTATTTAATGAAAAAAGTTATATTGCTAAAATGAAATTTAAAAATTAAAATTAAAATATATATCATTCTTTGGATGGGTCTAAGATGAATACGCCTTAGTGAAAAAATTAATAAAATTCCTTAATTTGAGAGATAATATATAGGTTATAATTTTTTAAGATGGCGTGGCACGCTTTCCATGGCTAGAGTAAGTGCAGATAATGCAGGCTCAATTATAGCACCAGTTCAGATAAAAAAAAAACAGAAAAAGGCTCAATTATAGCAGAAAGTCCAAAAATCTCCTCCGGGTTTGATATGGGCCAAGGCAACTGGCAAATGGCACTCCTCCAATCAATTGTTTTTTGGTGTTAGGATCAGAATTGTTCGGACAGTTTATATATCTTACTAATTTTTTTTTTAATTTAATTAAAAATAGATCATATATATTAGAATTAAAGAATTATCGAGTTTGGTGGTTCAGTGGAATACTAATCAAATCTCTGACCATAAAATTAGAAGTTCGAGTCTTGAAATTCATAAATATCAGTTTAACTAGATTCGTTCCTGAGAGATATAACGGACGTGATCAGAGGTGCCATGATCCCATCAATGAAAATTTATCGTAGTGGAGTTTAGACGCTTTTTAATATCTCTAATTTTTTTTTCTCTTAACAAAAAAAAATANCATGATCCCATCAATGAAAATTTATCGTAGTGGAGTTTAGACGCTTTTTAATATCTCTAATTTTTTTTTCTCTTAACAAAAAAAAATATTATAATTAAAAAATTTATAAAAAAATTGGGCTCCCAAAAAAATATAAAATTTTGAATGTCTGAGTTACATTTTATTCTCCTTTCTGAGTAGGTTACGATTACTCCTCGGATCAATCAACCCTTCCCTATAAAATGCTGCTAAAATAATAGCAGAGTCACCTTCTGGTGTACAGGGCCCTACAAAAACACAACACAAGTCCTCCGTCGTTTGGACGTCTCTTTCCTTACTTCCATCAGCTCTGTAAAATTTCTAGTTCAATCCTCTTCAATTTCTTCTAAATTTCTTGAAGCAAAAGCTTGTTTTGACTTTGGAAGAAAGATCGTTTGCACCTCGGCTAAAGGAAAGAAGATGTGGGGATTTGGAGGAAGGTACTATTGGGGAAGAAATGAGAGAGGAAAAATCGAAGGGATAGTTGTGGTTTTCGCATGGATGTCGAGTCAAGAGAAGCACCTGAAGAGCTACGTTGAGCTTTACTCTTCTCTTGGTTGGAATTCCCTCATCTTCCATTCCCAATTTCTCAATCTGTGAGTTTACTT